TGATTCAAACGTTTGGATTATTTTTCCAAATGACTTGTGAGCGTTTTTTTATACACTTAAGAGTGAAATAACACAATTATTTAAGGTTTCTTCTTATTTTTTCCCCTTTTGATAGTGAATTAAATTAAACTATCATTTTATTATCTCAAAATAGAGATTAACTTTGCAAAAAACTGTACCGCTGTCTGTCTCCCTCTTCAGGTCAGAGGACTCCAACAAGCGCCCCCCTGGTACCCCTGGGACTCCGGGCAGCAGGGACTTGGAGGCAGCATTGCGTCGCCTGTCGCTCCGCCGGGACAACTACCTCTCAGAAAAACGATTCTTCGAGGAGGAGAGGGAGCGAAAGCTGGCTTACCTGGCCAAAGAGGAGGAAAAAGGAGGACCAGGAACCCCAACGGAAAGCTTGTTCTCGCTTTCCTCACATACCTCAGTTGGAAGCATCTGGTCGGGGTACTCATTCACACCCAGGTCCTACCTGCCGGAGAAGCTGCAGATTGTAAAGCCGCTAGAAGGTGATTATTCCTCTCAGAGTCACAAGTCCTCGAATCTTCCACACGATGAAAAAGCAAATCAGAATTTCGGCAGGGAAAAAGCCTTTCGCAATGAAAATGAGATTTTGAAGGAAAAACACAATGAAAATCAGAACCAGGTGCAAAATTCCAGCCTCACTCCTCCCAGAGCACGCAGCCAGGGCTGTGAAACCCAAAGTCAAGCAACTCAGAATGAGAATCAATACCTGATTTTTCACAAATGCAATCAGTCCAAGATCTTTCTGAGCGCCTCACCAGATCCTAACAAGCTGCGAAGGAGCTCCAGTTTGATGGAGCTGAGCAGTTTCTCAAGCTCACAGTCTCCGCTGGCTGTAGCCACAGGTCTGCTGGAGAGGTTGGTGCAACAGGATGGTAGTTTAAATCTGCAGCACTCCTTTTATTTTAGACATACGCAGTTGCGCTGCAGCTTTGAAATATAGGTTACCCTGCTGTGTGTGGAGCAGTGCACTGGTTCGAAGGCTGCAGTTTAAACATGAGAATATTTCAATGAACACGTTCTGCACACAGTACCTTATACAAAGTAGATTTAATGATTTATTTTCCTAATATTTTATTCAAGTGTTGTACTTGGATATTGGAGCGTGTATCAAACTATAAAGTTGTGCACAGCCATAATGTGTTAAAAAGCCTACCTAGCACATAACAACATATGCTCACTGACACATTTGCAGTGAGCAATTTCCTGTATGGTATTTGAAATGCACTTTCTGTATTTTTGAACACATGCTGAACATGTTTCTGATGCCTTGTTCTAATAGAGGAGCTTTATTTATTATTTATTGAATTCTTAGTGTTAGATTGTCAATTCAGAGCAGTTATCACTATATTTATAATCTCAGAAACCTGTTTTTTGTTAACATGTACTCGTTGTGACCTCTTCAATCATCCATCCACTCTCAGTATTCTCCAGTGGAACTGAAAGCTTCCTTACATCTTGTACGATGGCACCACCTAGTGTCCAAACTTGAAGTTGCAACCATTTGCGTCATAGGACAAAAATGTGTTCCCCAAGCACGTGAACTTATGAAAATGTAAAAAACAAAAAGACATGGAAACGTTTCATTTCAAGTCTAACAGTGGTGCAGAAATAAGAAGTAATGTAGAAACAATCTCAAGTGATTATTTCTTAAATGTTCATCTGTCTTCATAAATTTCTGAGCCTTTCATTAGTGTCATGATGCTGTATGTACTGTCCACCTCTTCCACTCGTCATTTGTTGGCCTTTCAGTTCACTTTGGTCTTTGCACTTTACTCTTGTTCTTTTCTCCTTGTTTGCTTTCTTTGATGATTTCTTGAATAAAGTCTTCATCATTTTCCACTTTCCTTTTCTCTCATTTCTTCTGCGTTTGTTCTTTTGCACTGGCATCTCTCAAAATGCATCTCTAGTAGAAAACCATGTTTCTAGACTTGAAATTCAAGCAGTTCGGTGTGCGAAGACACTTTGGCCTATAG